GGCGCTTCAAAAATACCTGGAGCACAGAACCAAGTAGCCCTTAATCTATATGGCAGGTCTTTTCCCAACAGATTAGCAGCATTGGGGGACGAGGGAGGGACATGTGCTGCTCGGGAACCGCACAGAGGAACGAACAGGTGGAAGGGGGGCGGGTATACCCGCAATTGTGTGGGCTTCTGGGCCCGGGTGAAACAAAAAGTGCTTACAAATGGCAGACACAAGCCAGGTCAGGAGGAGGTGGAGGTTGGATGAAGACAAGTTTCTGAGGTTTGGTAACACTGCCGTCTTCATCTTCTCTGCCTGCACCTTTCTCCATCTTGTCCCAAAGCCAGCAGGAGAGGAACTGTATGTCCTTACCACCCACGTACCTGTCTCTAACTAGCGCCTTTATTTCAGCAACACGGGGACCAAAGACGTGAAGGGGGTGAAGGGTGTCTTCTCATCTGGCCCTGCGTGCATGCCCATTGGTCTAGAAACTGCTTCAGTGAATCACAGATGAAAATCGGCAAGGACTCTTCCAGGGGCAGCCAGAGGCTTCTCCCAGGTCACCTTTTCAGACGGATTTCAGAAACTGCCCCCAGCAGTGCCTCACGGCAGGCCTGTGGGGCCCGAGGAAAGGCGTGCATCGTCACCGATGCCTGAGGCCAGGGCGCTCGGTTGGGGGGCGCTCCTCTTTTGCCCGTCATGCCTTGTGTCAAGCAGAGCCATGCAGGGTCACCACCCCAGGCAAGCAGCCAGTGTCCGCCTTCCTGCGGAGGCCTGGAGGACTGAAAATGCGCCGGAGGGGGCTTCGGTACCTCTTTGCACATCTCTGCAGAGCACAGGGAAATGGCCGTGAAGGTGGAGAGTATCAGCTAGGAAAAGGGCACCCGGAGCCCTCCCTCCCCTCTCTGACCCACCCCACAGTCCTGGGTAGCTACTCAGAGGCGCCTGGGGCCTTGCAGCTCTGAAGGCAGGAGGCTGATCTTGAAAAGTTGGTTTGGAGGACTCACCAGCCAGTTTCGTCTCGCTGTCTCGTCGCCCGGACTCTCATTTCCCCTTTCTGTCGAGTTATCATGGCAACCATTTGCCAGCCGGATACTTAATTCTAGGACAGTCTCTTACCCAAATTCTCAAGACTCCTTGATCCTTCCTGTTCATCATTGCTGCTGCCCTATGTTTTGCATGTTGAATCTAGGGAAAGCTGGGAAGTAGAGTTCACGTCAGAACATTCGGGCCAGGCCGGCAGTTCTCCCTGTTCGAGGGGGAAGTTATCCTCAGACCCTGAAGCCACAGGGAAGTATCCATCCAGAAAGTCACCTTCTCCTTCTCAGTTCCAGTCAAGACAGGTGAAGGAGAGAAGGATGAACTGCCTTTGAGAACCAGGAAAAAGGAGTCTTGAGCTTCTTAATTCCTTCTTTATGGCTGTCCCCGTTCATTCTTCCATTAATTTCCTGATCTTCAGAGATACCAATACTCCTTTTATTATTTTAAGGAGGGTTCTTCTAAAATCCTTATACCAGTTTGATTTAATTGAGCCTTTCTGTGGCCACTGCAAAGCAGCATTTTATAACCATGCTCATTCCAAACATGACAGAGTAAAATAAGGCTTTTAAGAAAGACACCTGCTGGTAGGCTCCATGGATTGGTGAATCAGCTGCGAACTTCAAGCCTGTATTAGGCGTTTTGCTCAATAGTAATTCAGAATTTGCAGTGAGAGTTTCAAATTCCCCCTGGCAACCCAGTCCACCTGAGTCAAAAGGACACTTTCTGTCAAACAGATTCTCTTACATAATCACAGGTGGGCACAAATCTAGCATTAGACTCACTTGAGGTGTACCGTCTTTATTGCCAAATTGTTGCAATATCTAAAAAAAGAAGTCAAGGCCCAAAGAAACATGCCAATTCCTAAGTAGAGAATTAGCTATTTTTACTGCAGAGAAAATGCATGCAGACGTAGCCCATAGAGAACTAGAGACTATAATGAATCGTCTCTATGTATATGGAATTAAAACTTCAATTCTTAAACCTCATCCTACATTTTTTGGTAAACACTCAACAGATAGTTCATTTGCACTAGTAGCTACATTGTGCTTGCTCCCACGTCCTGTTTTTCCCATTGTTTTTTTAATCAGGCTTACTCTGTTTTTTCTAAGACCTTATAAGAACCTCCTACAGTTGCCCTTCCTATTGTATCCAGCACCTGGGATTAGTCACATCCTTCAACAAGCCTCAGTAAGGTTACCTTAAGTTCAGTCTCCTAAAGCTCCCCTTGTCTGTACAAGTCCCATGTGTACTTCGGAACCACCGAGTAGTTCACTGCTTGGGCTTTTCCTACTTCTGGGAAGGATCCTGGGCCTTGGAGGCCAGGAGGTACTTCCGCGGCACCAGTGACCATTGCTGGGATTTCCTGGTTAGCATTCATTTCTTTGATCTGATCAGGAGACCCACAGTTCACATCAGCACTTGCCTGCCTCTCCCTGCCCCCACGCAGGCTCTAATCTGGGTGGAGCCTGAGAGCCAAGTGCTAATTGCATTATGATTTCACATTAGTGGGGGGTGTTACTATACCTGGATATGGAACTGCTGTGTTTTAGGAAAAGCACGCCTTCAACTTTATAAAGTATTGCCAAATTGTCCTCTTGAATAGTTGTACCAATTTACACTCCCACCTGTGATGTATGAGTTCCTACTTTCACACATCCTTGGCAACATCTGGTGTTTGCAGACTTTATTTTTTCCAATCTGATGGGTGTGAAGTGGTGTCTCATTTTTGGCTTTAATTTGCATTTCTTCACTATTGAGCATCTTTTCATATGTTGGTTGGTCATTTGGGTTTCCTTTTCTGTGAATTCACTGTTCATATCTTTTGCCTTAAAAAATGGTTATTCTCATTGGATAAGAAGAATACTGTATATATTCTGAGTCCTAACTTTTTTTTTTTTTTTTGGCCCTATAGGTTGCAAATATTTTGTCCCAATCTATGGCCTTTTTATGTACTCAAATCTATCTTTTCCTTGATAGCACATGGTTGTATGTTGTCTTGAAGAAGTAGTCCCCCATCCTAATATCAGTGTGTCCTGTAATTTCTTTCAATTGATTGTTAACAGGAAGTTCCTCCTATTCTTTAATATTCTTGGCCTTTTCTTTTCCCATAGCAATTTTAGGATGAGCTTTCCAAGTTCCCTAAAAATCCCTTAGAGGGCTTTTATTTGTATTTCAGTGAGCTTGCAGATTGAGAATTGCTATCTTCATAAAGTGAGTCTTGCTATCCAAGAAAATGGTATAGTTTTCCTTTCATTCAGGTTTTCCTTTTTTTTTTTTTTTTTTAATGTTTGTTTATTTCTGAGAGAGAAAGAGACAGAACGGGAGACAGAATCCAAAGGAGGCTCCGAGCTGTCAGCACAGAGCCCAGTGCAGGGCTCAAACTCATGAACCGTGAGGTCGTAAGCTGACCCGAAGTCAGACACTTAACTGAATGAGCCACCCAGGCACCCCTAGGTCTTCTCTTCGTTTCAGGGTTTCCATTTTTGTTTTTAGTTTTTGTTACTTTTACAAATGGGATTTTTTTAATTAAAATTTTAAATTGGCTTCCTCCTGTATAGCAGGACACATTCTGTAACTAGAGGCTTATATCTTCAGTGTAATAACATGTTGTAAAAGAATACTGTCTGGAGGATACAGCCCTGCTGGCTGTGGAAATCTGTTCGGTGGCCCAGTACATAGCCAGCTTTATAAATCTTCCACATGGGCTTGAAAAGATTTTTCTCCTGTGGGGTGTAGGGTTTTGTGCATGTCCATGAGATCAAGTCTGTCATTGATCCAGTCATCTATATTCTTACTGTTTGCTGCTGCTTCATTCAATTACCATTTTTCTTCTAGCCTGTTCATCATTTGCATTACTCTGTTCACTATTAGAATAGCTTCCTTGTGAATTCATTTTTACTATTATTTAATAAGTTTTTTATCCCTCTAATTGTTTTTATATTAAAATGTTCATTAAAAGAGCTTTCCAAGTTTTCTTTAGTCTGTGGTACAGCAAAGAAAGCAGACAAGGATGTGCTTAGCTACCCATAGCAGAAAACTTGACTACAGTTTCTGAAATCAGGGAAGGTGGTTTTCTGAAATAACAGGGTCAGGGAGAGAGATGTGGGTCCCTCTGCTCAGAAGCCAGGCTCGCTCCTAGGTCTCCGTGCATCATTCACAGTGTGGTCCCCTCTGGCCGGTTGGCAGCGTGGGGCAAGGAGAGGTCAGCAACCTTTATGGTCAGGATCTCGTGGTTCACTGCCTCTTATGGCATCTAGAGAATCTTTGTCCGTGACTGTAAATGATTTGCTGTTGCCACACATTTTGTCAACATTCTTTAATAAGAAGATAGAATCTTCAGTTTCTGCAGTAAAACGTGACCATTTCCCTTCCAAGTGGAGTCACCAGGAAGGATGCGCTTACAGAGCCCTCTCTTTAGAGTCAGAAGCAGCAAACTGCACGAGCCCCGGTAAACCAGATGTCATTTAGGACTAGCCAAGTACGATACACTTAGATTTCAAAGCATTAATACAAAATAAAACGATGGTCTGGTTTCAGCGAGTGCTTGTGTTTCCGAGTAGTACAGGTATTCTCTCCAGGGATGGTCCCTTTCTTCTCTCCAGTTTTTCAGGAGACTGATTTAATTTCCTATTTTCTATGAAACTCAACCTCACTTCTGGTGCATTGGCGGGACCTTACCTAGGAGCTAGGACCTCAGACTCTCCCCACCCCCCACCCTGCTTCCTTTATCCCTTTCTCTAAACTTCCGCTGCCTCAGGGTCTGCCCTGCACCCTGCCCCCCCCAATTTATGGGACACCAGTGCTCTGCAGTTTGTGTGTGCAGCCTTCAGTACCTACTTAGCAGGTCGGCCGATTTCTGCTTCATCCTTAAAAGGATTGTATAGATGGTTCTGGTACTTCCTAGGAGTCTACTAGAATGTATTTATTCACCTAATGTTTGACTTGTACTAAGAGTGAACAGAGCATTTACTTACCTTACTTAATTCACCCCTTCTTAGCACCAAGAAGTAACGAATATCTGTCTGCAAAGAAAGCCAAAAACAATTATTACATTCAAAGCAGGAGAGTGTTTCTTTTAAAAACATTAGTACCAGTGTTATTTTTGAATTAAAGTGCACAAGCACAGCCTGGTGCTAGACAAATATTTATTGAGTGACTGTACTTTGATTTGAGCATTTTATTTTAGGCACTAAGACTGCTTAATCTAATTTTCAGTGCCCTTTGTCATCATTAAGCCTTGTCCGGCACAACACTGTTAAACAGAAGCCAGGCGCCTTTTCACTGAAGGACACGGGACGTGTCTCTTCTAGGAGGTGAAGCATCACGACTGTGATTTGCCATTTACAGATATTTTTCCACATGGCTTCTGTTTACATTTGACTGAAATTCTTGCTGTGGTGGTGAAGTCTTCCTTTTTTCCTGTCCTGATTAAAAAGAGCTTGTATCTTTCAGTCTAGTTAACCTTTACAACTGACACTTTAAATTTCTTTTTTCTTTATCCTCCGCACAATAATTAATCCCAATTTTCATATTTCTTTCTCACACGTTTTCAACTTGTCAGTTTATCTTAGTGTTTCTCTGAGCTATTATACAACTCCACCATAAATTTGAACTGCATTACTTTTGTCATTATGGGATCATTTCTGTTTACAAATTTGAATTGAGTTGTAAATTTAGATTTTGTTGTGTTTGACGTGTTCTGAAATCATCTTTCAGCCATGGAAACAAAGAAGTATTTTCCTGCCGGGGAATCAAATTGGCAGTGGATTGGTTTTTGGAAAGAGGCCACAAAGATATTACAGTTTTTGTTCCTGCTTGGAGAAAAGAGCAATCCCGACCTGATGCTCTGATTACAGGTGAGCTCCAGCCGCTTGTAGCCTCCGTGCATACCTGTGTGGGTACCTGGCACTGTCGGGCCTTTCACTAAGACGCCCTCTGTTTCTGTGGACTCCGTCCGTGTGAGACCTCAGGGGTGTTGGTGAGTTTAAAGCTATCGGATCATGTTAAGAAAACAGCAGCCCTTGCTCCATAAGCCCATTGCTTGGGTTTGGGGTTTCGTTTTTTTTTAACTTGGAAGCTTTTTACTCCAAACTTCGGGAAATTTTGACCTTTCAGACTCTGGCTTTGCCACATACCAGCCACTGGACTCTGAGCAGTATGCTGAATGCACATCTTTGGACATCCGTTTTCTCATCTGCTGTATGAAATTAGCGTCTGATCAAAAAAGACCCGCAAGCCCCTGGTGGTGTGCTCTCTGGGATCAAGTAGAAGGAAATGGCTTGATCTCAATAAAGTATCTGTATTTTGCATTGCTTTGTAATTTTTAAATGTGTGAGTTTCATGCAAAAACTGTCAATGGTTGTTGCTGAACATTGTGCTCAAGTTAAGGGAGTCTCTGCCTTCCTGCCCCTCTCAATGGAGCCTGTGTGAGGAAAACTACATTTTCAAATAAAAAACAAACGGAGAGACCACATGAAGGGAAGATTAAAGACTTTAGTTTTATCTGTAATCATCAAACCGTTATTAAAGTAGCCTAAGAGTAGACAGACAGACCAGCTTTGTTGGAGTCTAGAGCTGTGGAATTCGACTCGAGTCTGTATAAACTGTAAAGGGAAGAAGGTGGCATAAATTCGACCAGGGGCCCCAAGACACTGGTTCACTCTGGGGGGAAAATATACATTTTTAGATCCTTCTCTTATACCATGTGACAGTAAATTTCAGATGCTTGAAGAATTGTCAAAACACCGTAGTCTGAGTGGCTGGGAAGGCCTTTCTCCTAAAAATGTAACATTTTTAGAAGATATTATGAAAGAAATGACAAACTGAACTGCATTAAAAACTAAACTTCTGTATTTAGGCAAATAAGAAAAACTGTCATTTTTTAAAGGGAAAAAAAAATACAACAAGTAAAGAATCTATGTCCTTAACGCATCAAGAGCTCATACACCAATGGCTAGTAAAACTAACACAGCGTTCTCTCCAGTATGGAAATGGTAACAGGGTGGGAACAGACTGCTCACAAACGAATTCAAGTGCCCAGCAAAACAAAGTTGAACTGTATTCATAGTTAAAGAAATACAACTTTAAATGACTCACCCTTCCACTTAGCAGGGATTGAAACACTGGTAATACTCTGCGCCCTGTAGGAGCTGCCCCTTCATTGCTATAGAGACATAATTTGTTACAACTTTTCTAAAAAGCAGTTTGGTCTTAAAATATTAATACTCTTGGCTCTACTATTTTTTCCCTTCTAGGAATAATTCCTCAGAAAATAAGCACAGTTACAGGAAAAGATTTATGACCACAAAGTTACTTGTAATGAAAAAAACAGAAATAGCCCTACATTCATGAGAAGAACAGGTCAGGGATTCTGGGTATGGATTAGAATTTTTAGGCAGAATTTCTAATGGTCCGAGGAGGTGCCCTTCTACATGAGGTTTTATTACCGTGTGCGCGTACATATGCACACGTGCACGGGAACATACGGACCAGCGGTGGAGAGCACAGAATACACGGGAAAGGACAGGCAGGAAATAGGCTGAGGCATGAACAGTAACTGACTGAGTCATGACTTCATGAAGTTTTGTTTCTCCCCACTGCTTACTACTTCTCCGTAACTTTTCTACTTTTGCTCAAGCAACTTGTAATATGTACGTCAGTGATCAGCGGGGAAATGAACTGAAGAAGAAAAAATATTTAAACATGTAAATGCCTGGAAAACTTACTTGAGCACAGGAAGGGGAATGGATCATGGGGAAGGGGAGAAGGGGCTCATTTGAAAGAGCAGCCTGCCCAGCCTCTGGAACGGCTGCAGTTGACTTTGTACAATGCACACCACTGTGGCTGACCCTTACCCGGCACACGTTTGAGCTGTGCGGGTCCACTTAGAAGCAGACCTTTTACAAGACAGCCCTGTAATTCTCACAGGCTTTTCTTCCCTCTAGCTTACTCAAAGAATACAGTACATAAACGCCTAACATAGATGTAGTGCTGACTCTCCTACAGTAAAGTTCGGGGGAGTCCAAGGTTATGTGGACTTTCCACTGCATCAGGGGTCAGCGCCCTCAGCCCTGTGCTGTTTAAGGGTTGCTTAAAGGTCATTAGAGGCCCCCCCCCCCCCGGGAAGTCATTGTCACTAAAACCTCTAGCCTCATAATACCTGGTAAAATGAACAGTCCATTCTTTTTTCACCGTATTAAAACCATGACAAGTACTTACAAGATGCAGTACTTCATGACAAGCACTTACATGAAGATGCAGACTAGTGCGTCTTCCAGACTTCCAGCAAGTTAACCCCTATTTCACAGGCACCAAGCTATGGATCAGGTACTGTGTAAGGAATTAGAGACTTAGTTCAACTTACTGAACTACATACTTACATAGTGAACCCATATTATTTAAGTTCGGATTTTTTATCCTAGTTAGTGTCCCTTTTACCTCATTATCTATTATAGAAGAAGCCAGTTAAGCAAGATGAACGTTAGGCCACCACACTTGCTTCTTCAGTCTCTTCATGGCACGTACCACGTATGAGGAAACACCCCCACAAAGAAAGTACCATGGCTTATTCGTGAACATAGTCAATTAACTGGAGGACCTCAGACTGTCCATCGCTAAAGTATCTCGTGTATTCATTCTGCAGATGCTTACGGAGGATCTGCTACCGGCCAAGTGCCAGCGCACATAAACATTCTGAGGGGCACACACAAAAACAGCTAGAATATGACAAGTCCTGTAGCTGAAATTGAGCTTTTGATTTTATACTAGTTTTTCTTTGATTTTTAAGAGATCAACAAATCCATCTCTTAAAATGAAGTTGAAGAACAGTTTATTGAGAACTCGTGAGGCACTGTGCTAAGTGCTTTGACACATGACAACTCATTGACTTCTTCCACCCGACTGACTGCATCCGCAGCTCAGTAAGTTGTGACTGTCAGATACAGAAAGTGCCAGAACCTGAGATTTACCCATGATTTGCTGATTCTAACACCCGTTTGTTCCACTTCTATTCTGCTTTCCTACACCAACGTTCTGGTCTTGGTGACCTCAAGTCAGCAACATCATTGAAACCTATATGCTGGGGTGAGAGCCAGCCGCCCTCTTAATAGCTCCTGTGTCCCCTCCTCCCAGGTCCCCTGCTCATACTTCTGTGGTGGCGATCCCAGCCCTTGCTTACCTGGTTTGCATGTCATCCAGTGACTGACACCTTCCTAGCGAGAGGTCCTTCTTAGTGCTGGTGGCCACTGACACTTCACATGCCATAGTGTAGGCATGCGGTGATCAGTCGCTGGAGAGAGAAAAAAATGTTTTAATTAGCCATTCCAGTTAATAAACATGGAGAAGTAGCCTTTAAAAAACATCATGACCTCATGAGTGTGCCAGGAAGTACAATGGTGGGAAGACAGGAAGCAGGAGAGCCAAAGTAGGAAGAAGGGGTGGTTCAGAGAGAATATTTATCATGAATCGCAGTATGAACTCCGGCACATTTAAAAAAAAAAAAAAAAAAAAAAACTACACAAGTCCGTTACAAAGGGCCCTAAGAATGTTCCAACACAAGAGCTCTCCTCTATCTGTTCTTTTTCTGTGGCAGCTCTCCCCTGGAATCACTGTTTTTTGTTTTTTGTTTTTTTAATGTTTATTATTGAGAGCAGAGAGAGACAGAGTGTAAGCCGGGGAGGAGCAGAGAGAGGGGGAGACACAGAATCCGAAGCGGGCTCCAGGTCCTGAGCTGTCAGCACAGAGCCCGATGTTGGGCTTGAACTCGTGAGCAGTGAGATCATGACCTGAGCCCAAGTTGGACACTTAACTGACAGAGCCCCCCAGGTGTCCCTCCCCTGGAATCACTTCTGATCTCCTCTTCACTCAGTCCGGCCTCTGTGAGGATGTCATTTGTTGCCACATGTTTCACAGGAAAGGGCGCCGGACATGTATGGCCACATGTGTAACCACAGCTCTGCCTCCTGCCTCTGTGAGCCTTCTGCCCGAGACCCTTCCCCCAGCTGCCTCTGCTCCTTCTAATGCTTCTCAGACTCTCCCACTTAGTCCCGCTACTTGGATGACGAAACTGCAAACAGACTGGTGGGGGCCCGGGGCTGGGGAGACTCCGTTGCACACCCCTAACCCTAGCACAGCCGCTTTGTCAGAATGGCAGGGACCAGAGAGAGAGAGAGAGAGAAGCCATGTGCCTGCCCAGGGGACCGCCACTCCATCCAAACCTTCCAGAGTGGAAAACCCAGCTGAGCACATTCTCCTTACACTTCATTCTGTTCAAGTTTTTAATCATTTATTTTAAGGTCATTTTTGGGGCTCTTTTTAAAGCGGCGCAACCCTCAGGGACAGATACGGGGAGTTAACAAGTAGGTTCTGTCCACACACCGCAGCTCACAATCCCCACTTAAATGGTTACGTAAACCCACCTGCCTTGCGTGCCAGTCGGCCCAGTGCTGGGTGTGTGCTGGCCTGACACCCGCCCTGCTCGTTCCCGCAGATCAGGAGATCCTGCGCAAGCTCGAGAAGGAGAAGATCCTGGTGTTCACGCCGTCGCGGCGAGTGCAGGGAAGGCGAGTGGTGTGCTACGACGACAGGTTCATCGTGAAGCTGGCTTTCGAGTCGGACGGGGTCATCGTGTCCAATGACAACTACCGAGACCTGGCCAACGAGAAACCCGAGTGGAAGAAGTTCATCGATGAGCGGTTGCTGATGTACTCGTTTGTCAACGACAAGTAAGCAAGACCCTTCGCTCACCGGGGATCCTGCCTCCCTGAACCACATCGCCCCTGGCAGCCGCGCCGGGAGCCCCCTCCGTGTGCCACATGCCTCCCCGCCCCGGATTTCCCCTCTCATCCTCAGGGGGCCCTGCCCTGTAAGACACGCACAGAGCAAGTCCGTCCTCACTGACGGGGACCGTTTCCATCTTCAGAGAAGGCAGATTTTGAACGTGTTGAGCCCCAAAACACTGCCTTCCAAAAGCTACTTAGAGCGTTGCTAGCTTAACTATTTTTTAAATACTTTAAGTGCACGATTAAGTTATTAATTGGACAGATGATATAAAAGCAGGTCTCCTGAGAAATATTTACAAATACATGGGAAAAGTTCACCTGTTGGTAATCAAAAATGCAAACTAAATCTATCAAGAACATATTTTATGACCATTTGATTCACGAAAGTATTTTTGCACGCACTTTATACTGTTAAAGGTGTAGTGAAACTGATAGTTTGGTTTAGCGGAAGCCTTGAAAATACCTACACCTTCTCTCAAGCCAGTCATCTCATTTCCGGGAACCTATGCACTGAGGAAAAAAGACCAGAGATGCTCATTTCTATATTATTTATAAATGCAAGAATTCAGAGGCAGCCAAAGATACAATAGAGAAACCAGTTAAGTCACTGGAATATTCCATCTCGTGGAATATTCTCCAGCCCTTTGGCATTATGATTCTGAAGGCTATTAAGGAACATGGAAATATATCCGTTAAGAAGACAAAGCACAAAATTACAGTTATGCATGTGAAATGTGTTTGCATACAGAAACGGCTAAAATGCAACACATAAGTGGAAAATACTTGTATTAAATTACAGGATTGAGCAACTCTTCTATTTTTAATAATTTTACCATATTGGTTTGGCTAATACCAAACACTGTTACCTGCTGAGTGTTCTTACTCAGCCACGTGGACACTCCCTTAAGAGTTCATAGGACATTATTCACATTTTATGGGTAACTGATTGGCTCATTCCAAGTTCACTGACATAATCAGCAAAACTCTTGAGTTGTAACTTCTTTTTGTGGTGCTGTGTGCGCCCTGAATTCTTGGCATCCATGAGACGTTTTCCATCTCCACTAAGAGGCAAAGAGAATGAACTGGGGGTTAAACATGGACCCCTGACTGTGCCGTGTGAACTCAGGTCAAAAACCTTCCTTAGGAAAGTGTATTAATCTGCAAAATGGAGCTGATACTTCAAGGGCTCCCTGTCAGCAAGAAGGAGAAGGGGGTACACCCAGCATCAGGCACGTAACAGATCAGGGTGGGGCGTGTCCCATCTTCCTGTCATCTCCCCCCCGCTCCCCCCCCGCTCCCCTCTTACTGCCGCACCAGATCGAGGGTCATGAAGCCTTCCTAAAACTCCAGGATGTCATTTTCTGAAGCCCTTACAAAATCCCAAGACTGACAATTATTGAGAACACGCAAGGCTCCAAACTTACTTAAGTCACACACAAATTTGGCTGGACACATTTTGTTTTAAGAAAGCCTTGTGTACCAAGTTTTTTATCCCATAAACGTGGAATCAAAATACTTGATTCTAAGCAATGAACCACGGGAATCTGCCCCCAAAGCCAAGAGCACACTGTAAACACTGTATGTTGGCCAACTTGACAATAAATTCTATTAAAATTAAAATTAAATTTTTATAAATACCTTAGAGTGAATCCATCGTGACCTTCTGTCTTCAGAATTAAATTATCAGTCCTCCTATGTAGGTATCATTTTCTGTCCTGTCCTTGACAGGTTCATGCCTCCTGACGACCCCCTCGGCAGACACGGCCCGAGCCTGGATAATTTTCTGAGGAAGAAACCTATTGTTCCTGAACACAAAAAACAGCCTTGTCCATATGGTAACTTTATCAGTATTTAATTTATGTCTTTTTAAAAAGTCTATTTTTTTGAGAGAGAGACCAAGCATGAGAGGGAGAGGGGCGGGAGAGAGGGAGAGAGAGAATCCCAAGTAGGCTCCATGCTGTGAGTGTAGAGCCTCATGTCGGGCTCAATCTCACCAACCACCAGATCTTGACCTGGATGGACCAAAATCAAGAGTCCGACGTTTAACCGGCTGAACCACTCAGGTGCCCTGATATATGCCTTTAGAGCACAATATGTCCTTAAACTTTTGTAAATAAAAATATTTTAAATTTCAGATGGCATAGTAGGTGGTTCTTTTGATTGTAATTAAATTTAAGGCAACGCCTTAGCACTGAAAAATTCATTATTTTGACCTCTTGGGGTTCAGTGCAGATGTACTTCCCAGAGTTAAAACATGGTTCCAAGAACTGGGCAGGTGAAAAGGCGGGGCTCCTACTCCTACACCGCATCGGCCTGGGGGCGTCCCCCCCCCCCCCAAGGTGCCTGCTGGTCGGGAAGCCATAGCGGGAGAGCACGGGCGGGTAGGGGTCGAGGGCTCTGGAGGTGACTCGATGGTGCTGAGGTGGGGACCAGTGGAAGGCGGCCCTTCGCACAAACAGGGAGCAGAGGGGCGACTCGGAGGACCCCGGCCACCGGCGCCTCTCCCACGGTCCCCAGGGCGCCGTCACCCCCCCCCCCCCCCCCCCCCCCCCCCCCGCCTAACGAGCTTGCCTCTCCGCAGGGAAGAAGTGCACGTACGGCCACAAGTGCAAGTACTACCACCCCGAGAGGGGCAGCCAGCCGCAGCGGTCGGTGGCCGACGAGCTCCGCGCCATGTCCAGGAACACGGCGGCCAAGGCCGGCAACGAAGGCGGGCTGGTGAAGAGCAACAGCGTCCCCTGCAGCACGAAGGCGGACGGCGCCGCGGACGTCAAGCGCGGGGCCCCCAAGAGGCAGTCGGACCCCAGCATCAGGACGCAAGGCTACCAAGACCTCGAGGAAAAGCTGCCCACCAAAAACAAATTGGAAACCAGGTCTGTACCTTCTTTAGTTAGCATCCCGGCGACTTCGACCGCCAAACCCCAAAGCACCACGTCTCTAAGCAATGGCCTTCCATCCGGAGTTCACTTCCCAGCTCAGGACCCAAGACCACAGGGGCAGTATCCTCCGCTGATGATGGCAACCAAAAACCACGGCGCGCCCATGCCTTACGAGCAGTACCCCAAATGCGACTCGCCCGTGGACATCGGGTACTACTCCATGCTCAACGCCTACTCGAGCCTGAGCCTGTCCGGCCCGCGCAGCCCCGAGCGCCGCTTCTCCTTGGACACGGACTACAGGGTGAGCTCCGTGGCCTCCGACTGCAGCAGCGAAGGCAGCGTGAGCTGCGGCAGCAGCGACTCGTACGCGGGCTACGCCGACCGCTCGTACGTCAGCTCCCCCGACCCGCAGCTGGAGGAGAACTTGAAGTGCCCGCACGTGCACGCGCACGGCCGCCTTAACTCCCAGCCCTTCCTGCAGAACTTCCACGACCCCGTGGCCAGAGTGCAGAGCTACGCTCACGAAGAACCAAAGTACCACCCCAAGCCGCCGCTCCCGCACCTGGCCGTGCACCTGCCGCACCCCGCCGTGGGGGCCCGGGCCAGCTGCCCCGGCGACTACCCCTCCCCGCCCGGCTCCGCCCACTCCAAGGCCCCGCACCTGGGGCGCGCCCTGGTGGCCACCAGGATAGACAGCATCTCCGACTCGCGGCTCTACGACAGCTCGCCCTCGCGGCAGAGGAAGCCTTACTCGCACCAGGACGGGCTGGGCGGCTGGGAGCGGCCCGGCTACGGGGTGGACGCGTACGGCTACCGGCAGACCTACTCCTTGCCCGACAGCTCCACGCAGCCCTGCTACGAGCAGTTCACCTTCCAGAGCCTCCCCGAGCAGCAGGAGCCCGCCTGGCGCGTCCCCTACTGCGGGCCGCCGCCAGACCCCCCGCGGTACCAGGACAGCCGGGAGAAGGTCTACGTCAACCTGTGCAACATCTTCCCGCCCGAGCTCGTGAGGACGGTCATGAAAAGGAACCCGCACATGACAGACGCCCAGCAGCTGGCCGCGGCCATCCTGGTGGAGAAGTCGCAGCTGGGTTACTGAGAGACGATGCATCTTTGTGGTGTGGAGTCGTTTTTCGTTCAGCTCAAAGGCTGAGGGAGGTTTGCTACAATAGCACATGTGATCTCCTTCTCGGCAAGGAGGTTCTATAGTATCCATTTCTGTGAAGTACCGTATCATGGAATCTGTACGTATGGCCCCACGTAGTGGAAGTATCACGGGATTGCTTTACATTGAACCGGTGGTGGTTGTGTGGTTTTTTGGTTGGTTTTTGTTTTTTTTTTGGTTTCTTTTTAACATTTCCTTTTTAAAGGTATATCCTTGGCTGGAAATTTCTCCAGTTTGATTTATTAGATGTCTCCGTGATCTTTGATATTCCTCTTTGGTGCATCAGGGGTTTATATGCAGCACTTTTTATCCTTGTTTTGTGTTTTCTTAACTTGGTGTTTGTCTATCGATTGCAAGCAATTATAATACCTTCAGAACGTTGAACATTTGACTAGACCCTAGCCAACTATTTTTTCAAGCCAAGCTTAATTGGAATATTTTACAGCTTTTTAAGTTATTTTTATTTGGGGAAAGTGGGCTTCTTTGTGCTATAATCATTATTTATAGATACCAAGATATACTACCGCACTGACTTTATATTCTAAACAAAATGGAAGTTACCAGTTAACGTTGAAAGGGTAACCGTCTATATATTAGAATGATTGACAATATGGCACTTTTCATTGTGTTATTTTTGTTCGGGATTTTTTTTTCCTGTTAAGTAATGAGTTAATTTAAGATGGTTGATTTAAAGGAAAGCAGATGCAATCAATGGGAAAAAAATGGTTTCCATTTTATTTCTATTTTTCTTACTGAATAAGGCAAAAGCCGTGGGTGCTCCAGCACAGAGCTCTGTTACCCAGCCATGATGTGCTTCTAGACGGTAGAAATGGAATTGAATTCCCAGATTCTCCTCAACTGGTATTTTTAATGTGTTCGTCTTTTTGTTTGGGGGTCACAACAAGACTGGATAAAATAACCCTTTCACAATACTTGCCTGTTTTTAATGAATCTAATTATTCTCAATGCAACTTTTATATTTAATATACTCGTTAGCTTTCCTGCTGTTTATCAAGGCTGGCCTGAGGGGGGTGTGTGCACTGAGGGTATGCAAAGCTGACTGGCACTGCACTAGGGGGAAGGGGGCGGTGGGCTTGGCAACAGTAACTTCAGACGTTTGTAAGATAGTGTATATTTCCCATTTTCCTGAAGGTAGTCTTTTTTTTTGGGGGGGGGGGGAGGGCCTGTTATATTATTAAGGCCAGATTCTTGCCACAAATAGTGTAGTTTTAGCTACAGACTAAAGTCTGTTCTAGTATTAGTAAGGGATATTTCTGGTTTCAAAGTTACGGGTTTTGCTAGATGCGGATTCATTTTTGTCTTGAGAAGATGGACGTCGCACAGGGTGGCAGACGGTGGTGTGGTTGGGGGGACCTCGCTGCCGTGTCCAGGCTTTGAGTTTTGCTTCGTGTAACAGACTCCTCTGAGCGGTGTCTGTCGTCTGCCTCGAGGCCCTGGTGATTCTGATTATCCTACACGCTGCAGTTTGAAGTGAAGCCCTGAAAAGCCAGAAAGTACCTTTTACTGTTGATACAAATTGTATCTTTTTAACTCTAAGAACTATTTTGATTTGTAGATCTAGTGAAAACACACATGTGTAACTATGATTAGACTTTTGGGCAACATTTTATCCCTTATTTAAATACGAAATTTTAAAGTAAAATTGAGGTCTAGGATAGGGTAGAGCATAAAAAGTAACCATTTAGGTAAATAAAAGTGTCTGTGTTAGTTTTATATAATATATTGAAATATATTAAATACATTTATTGGCATTTTCTTTCTCCTAAAACTTACCTAGTGAGAACTTAAAAATAAAGGTAAAATGCTGCCTGAAAATAACGCCCAAGCACCTTTGACTAGGATAACATTTTCACTACTTGTGTGACACCGTGTGTTGCATGAAGTAGGATTTGGGTACACAGTAAATGCTTCTAAAAGGCATTGTGCATATTGACATATCCAATAATCTGAACCGTGTTCAGCAAACTTAATTCAGGAAAGTGGTGTTCTACACAATTATTGCTGTTGTTCTTGAGGTGAGCGTGGCCCTCGTCTGTGCCCAGAAGCGGTGCGGATGGCGCCGCGCCACCCATTCGGAGCGGTGTCCGCGCGTGACTCTGTCCTCGATTTCGTCGCTCAAGTGTCTATAGAACAGGTTTCCGTGTAGAGGCTGAATGAGTGCCAAAACTAGGGTTACCGACGTGGCGTACCTTTCACAGTAATCATCTTCTAGCCATTTTTTTTTTTTTTAGTGTGAAATCATTTTTAAATTCTAAGTTTTGCTTCCACTTTCTTAGTTTTAGCATTTTCCTTATCTGAAGATGCTGCCAGACTTTACCACGTTTATTTAAATGAGGTCTTTGGTGAAGTGTCCTACTTCCCATGTGACCTGCTCATGTCTGCAGCTGTCTGTCACTGCTTCCTGGCTTCTAGACTAAGGCAAAATAGTGTAGCCTGTCCCCGCCTGTCCTGAGGTGAAGAGCTCTGAACGACTCACCCTGAAATCCTTCAGTATAATTCATGGTGAGTTACTCAACAGCCGTTTTCTTAGGTCAAGAGGACAATTTGTCCCCCTCCCTTTTGTCTTTTCGCCACCCATGTTGCTTTCAGAGGTTAAGAATAAGAAGGTTGGCAGACCTGAGATACAGCGAATTCTTCATCATCTAAAGCAATAAGTAAAAGGATCCATCATTTAATTGATTGCATAGCTGGTCCCAAACCTTCATTGTCACCAAAACTTTCACCTTAATCCTGTCTTTCACCAGATTTGCTAATAAATAACTGGAAAGGGAGGTAGTTAAGTAGGAAAACTGCCCCAAGTGGTCAGTTGATAGAAGAATTCAGACTGGAATATTCTGCCCTGAGTAAGTGACAACTGACTGTACTTTGCACAGTAGCCGGTTCCTTGTGTGTGTGTGTGTCTGAGTACCGAGGGAGTCACATCGGGCTGGCCAGGCACCGGCCACCGATGTTTCCTCCTTTCTTGCACGTGATGACCTATGTTTTCAGTCTGTGTACGATCTCTGTATCCTGATAGAGTTTGTCATTGACCTCAATATTTGAAAGAAATGCACACCAGTATAAAATGTTTCATACTGGTAGAAACTTGAACTTTGTGCTTTTATGAAATTTCCTTTAGGAGAATATGTAATATAACTAATAAGAGCAGTTTTATATGTATATATACACAAATGCATACCTATTTGTTATGAAGTATTAAACGCGGGAGGGCGTTAGACTTTCGGTGGCTGAACTTTCCCTTCGTTGAACTCTGTTTCTGAATTGCAGATGACCAAGGCTGGAGTCTGGATGACCAATGATAAGATTTAGAACCACTTGAATGGAAAGCAGTTCTTCAATGGTTTTATTCCTGGTATTTTTAAAGAGTTATTTTGATAATTTTAATAGAATGTGTAATTTTAAAACACACAAAAAACCTTTAAAGTAGTATTGATTATACAGATAATTATTTAACATGTCTTTTATGGATGTATCTATGTATATGGACAGTAATATATTTATAAAACAAATATACTTTGATTACATTGTAGTGTTAGTGTGTGATAGGTTAGAGGGTGCCTCTGGATAGGGAAGTGTGTGTGTTCTTAAACCCGTCGAGCTGTTTTACCCCAAGTTAATGGCACTGACCCTGAGGTGTATTTGGCTTTCGTTCTCATTTTTACTCTCCAACTTCCTTATTATAAGACGAGCTTCCTAGGTATACACCAGCCAGTCATCCAGAGTGTGATATACATGAACTGCACATGTGCATGAGAGTACGAGAAAGCAGAGTTAATGCAAGTAGAGAAACCTGCAATATTGGCAACGGGTCTGGGAAACTCCCTAGGGCAGAGGTGGACAGGCTTTTTCTGAAAGATCAGACAGTAACTAATTCAGGCTTCGAGAATCATATGCTCTTTATAAACTGCTTACCTCTGCACTAAGAGCATGAAAGCGGCCACGGGCAGGAACGTACAGGAGCCGTGTGGCCGTGCGGCAGTAGAACTTGACTTAGAGAAACAGGCAGCCGGTGGTCTGCTCATCTCTGTCCTAGAGGGAGACAAACAGGCATATGAAGCAGTAAGCCCTGATATATATGTTAAGATACGAAGTGAGAACTGTATTTCAGGTGATGCTGTTGGTGGTCTTCACAGGAAGACTGTGAACCCATCCCATGACTTAACTGTTTATTCAGTCACACCCATTATTTATATATTAGAGACGTTTCTTAAGGTTTAACCATACACACAAAAAAGCATTCGGTCAACAGATGTTTTACTAAGTATCAAGTTGTTTTTTTTTCCATGAATTTTGTATTTCTATTAATAAATGGGAACACCTTACCTACACTTTCTGTTTTAAGGGCCTTACGGACCAAAAATTCTGTTGTATTTTGAAACTTAGCATGTCATTAGACACAAAATATCTTAAAGACTGCTTTGTCCGTTAAATTTTTCTGGTTTTCTGACTTCAAAAAAAAAAAAAAAAAAAAAAAAGACAGATGTGCCCTTCTTTATAAGTGGTTTTAAAGAAGATCAACATATTGTAATTTCACATACTATAGCTTTATTCTGTAAGATTTAAAATTGTGACTAGTGTAACTGTAGCGATGATGTGAGTGCATTTGCTGTGTCGTGGCTTTCTTTATATGGAACCAAGTGTATCCTGCTTTCTCTGTCCAGATCTTTGGTGTAGATTCCTGAGACACCTCAGGACTGTCCTTGGTGAATATTCCGAACACGGTCACATGTGATTTTAAATCCATCGGCACGTTCACTCACAGCGCTTTATCGACCGTGTTCCTGTTTTCACACTCTTCCCGTAGGAACTTTAACTAGTTCTGAACATTACCATCCACTGTAGTTACACTTGATTTTAAAATTGGAATACGACTCTGACTCTCAACAGCATTCACTGTTTGGACCGGCCACTTTTTTCCCCCTTTCATGCCATCTGCTCCCGTTTACCTCCATTACGGAAACACTGCTCTGTGGCAGGAGTGGCCTTTTCCCTAAGGTCTGCAGCCTTGAAGACTTAAAAACAATTTAGGGTTTTGACCATTTGGCAGTTAAAACTTTTTGGAAAAGCCAGTCCATGTCTTAATTTAGTTTCATAAAATTTGGAAAATTCCACTTTTCAACCATGTAGCAAATCTGCCACTTGTCTGTCTGGTATTTCAGATGAATAACCAATTGTTTGCTGTCCCTCTCTTAAAGCAGCTTACGTCTTTAGGGGAAAAGACCTTGAAAAGCACTGGCTTGTTTTTAAACCATTTATGTTTTAGATTCTTTGTTTTTTTTTTTTTAATAATATGTTTCCTAGCTAATACAAAATACCCACCAACATGCAAACTCCTCAGAGACATAAACATAGCGCTGTAAGTGACCAGAGACTGATCTCATCTTCTCCCATGAGGTGGTTTTCTTCCCGAACCATAGCCATGTGCCGATGGAATTTCCAATTCGGTCCTTCAGACTTTTCTTCTAGGAAAATAAAGTCAAGAATGTTTAGAACAACCATTGGACAAACTCATGTGATTCTATTTATTCTATGTCTGCTCTGTGTGTTTCTGTACTGGAATTTTTACAACTCCAAAAACGCAGTATTTTAGACCTACTGGAAATCCCTATCAGAACAGCTATGTGATTCTGCCACTGAGAAAAAAAATTAAAAAGTTCATTTTTTTATGGTGGTTTGTTTTTGTTTCACGAGGAAATGGACCTCCTGCAGCACAAATGCTAAATAAATAAAAACATCTTTCTCTCGTCCTGGGATCTGCCTACATTCAGTGGGTGGTAACAGGGTCTCCTGCAGGACACGCACAAGCACCTCAACCATGTGGTAGACCAGTCATTAGTTCATGTGAAAACTGGAATTCAAGGCCAAAGACAACTAGTCGTCATTCCTTACCATGCTAATAATTACCCATCTAGGCTGCTCCCAGCCTGAGAGGTTTCTGGCTTTCTACTCATCTCTTGTGACCCAATGACCTCTTCAGCATAGAAACGTTTGGCCCACCTCTCCTTGCCCAGACCAGTCTCGGTACCCTAGCCATGCCTGCTCTAAGGAGCTTCACTTCCCTTACTTTGGGACCCACTGGGAATTGCAAATTTGCAAATCCTCCATTTCATATGTGGTCACGAACCCAAAATGGTGTAATGATCTTCATGACTTTAGCATATTCATGTTCTCTGTCAGTGCCTAAGAAACTGTTCTTTCCAGATCAGATAGGGGTTTTTTTCTCTTGTTCTTCAGGTGTTTGCCTCTCTCTCTCTCTCTCTCTCTCTCTCTCTGTGTGTGTACATGTGTGTGTGTGTGTGTGTGTGTGTGTGTGTGTGTGTGTGTGTGTGTGTAACTGCCAATTATCAGGTATTTTCTTTCCCCCGGACCCCCTCACCTTAAGCTCTTTATGTGGCATGTGGATTTACGTACTTTATTTCATCTTCAGCCGATTTAGCTGTGATACTCAGCTGTACTTGGCAGAGAATGCAGCATATTCAAAGTCGGTATTAGGAGAGGGCAGACTAACCATCTTGGGGGGTATCGGATCAGCCTACCCTGTGGGCCAGGGCTAGTTTATTCCTCCCCCACCTCGTTCCTCAGTTCACAAAGGATTCATACACGTTGATGAATCAAGTAATGCGGCAGATGGAAACCACAACTAGAATCAACTAGAATGGTTAGTTTACTCAGAACAAAATAAGACTCCCTGGGTCTCTCATTAAAGTGTATTTATCAGCATTTGTGCCTCAGCCTCAGATACTGGCTTAGAGTCAGTGATGTTCATTTGGTGTTTTTAAAGACTTCTGAAAGCATTTTTTAAAATCTTGACATTTTAAAGGCTTTCAGATTTTTAAAGTAACCTTTTAAAAAAACCATTCCTCTCTGTGCACCCGTCATTCTGGCCATTAGGATGACAGCCCCTGGCGGCTGAGCCCCACTGCACGTGGCCTGCAGAGATGGCCCCTTACTGGAGGGACTCCCCACCTCCTTTGCTCAGGTTGTGAGGACTGAGTTAGACCCTCTGCGCTGCAGACCCAGGTCTGGGCTCAACACGTCACTGTTACATAAATGTCAGGTATTTAAATACACAGTCCTTTCCAGATGCCCCCCCCCCCCCCCGAGTCTATAAGGCTATGGATAGGCTATCTACAGGGCTAACTTGTGAAAGAGTTTTGGTTCTAACAAGCATCTACAGTATGATGTTTTCAGTGGCGGGCTCTTTCAGGAATGACATTTCAACCTGTTTAAAGACGTCTTGGAACCCTATTTCCATGCAACCCCATTTTTAGGCCCTTCTTGGCTTAAGAGTTTTCTATATAGCAGAATAGGGATGTAAATGGAATAACAAAAATGATTTAAAAAAAAAAAGGTAAACCCAGAAGCTCACAGCTCAGTAGGTCAAGGATGGCATTACAGCTCCTCAGCCCCCAGTTCCATTTTCACCCCCGCAGGTGCCGCTGGGCACACCAGTCTGCACCCCGGGCTCCCGGCCTGAGTGGAAGGGGAGGTCATCTCCTCGCCATGGGAAACTCCAGAGCCAGTCTGGGCCCAGCAGCATGTGCTGCCGTGGCTCAGGTACACCATGCACTTTTCTGAAAAGACAGCAGATGAAATCGGATGACTGTTTTTTTCTCTTTGAGCACTTCCTCCTCGTTTATAACTGCTCCTCTCAAATCTGGAGGGGGCTGGTGGGGAGCCCACTCACATCTGAGGGTTCAGGACTGTAGTGAAACCACAGTCCTGCGCAGAAGGGATTATCCCTTTTTAGAAATGAGAAAACGAAGCCTCAGGAAGGTTCAAGCACTTGCTCAAAGGCAAATCCTGCTGCTGCTTCCAAAAATGCTTTTTTCTGTTTACGGTGCTGCAAGACTGCTCCGAGGGATGCCCGTGACTGTCCTTGGTGGGGCTGCTGTTTACACGTTTAGGCATGAACACCATGCTCTGACTTCACGGGGGGCCGGGAAAGGTAGGAGAAACAGGACTTAGAACCCTGGTGTCTGTGCTCCAGTAAACCCACGCACATCCCCCACTCTGCTTCCAGGCGCAAACAGGCTCGAGCAGGAGGTCACTGGTGTTGGCAGGAAACACCACCAGCGATCCGCCTGTCCTGAGCCTGTGCCGATGGCCTGAAGCATGTGCTCGGCCCCGACCCCAGCCAGCGGAGCAAAGCTCCCTCCTCCAGGAGAACCCACGGCCCTCAGCCTCTCTCATAAGCCAGCCTGGTCAGTTCTGTCCCAGGGTTGGAGTCCGGACTCCCAGTCCCTCCTCAGCGCCCCCTGTGGTCCTAGAGAGTAAAAGTAGTACATTCAGGCCTCCAGTTTCCAGTCACGCACAGGGCCCTTCTTGGGCGGGCTGCGCGAAGCCCCCACTTAGCTTTTGGACTCTCCCCTACACTGTCCACTGCAAACACCTTTCCTGTGAAGCAGCTGACATTTGCAGTTCCCAGGCCTTGTATTTGCACAAATTCAGTGGGAGATTAGAGCCAGACAAGTTTAATTACGGGGTCCCACACATTCCCCGCTGCTCCCCCGGAGAGCTCAAGGAGGGACGGAACACTCAAAGCACAAGAAACAACACGCCCCACTCGCCGAACGCCCTGCCCTCCCCACTCTCGTCTGGAAGCCCGTGCTGGTAGCGTGTGTCCCGGCCATCCTTCACCGAACACAGGAGCCCCAGGGCTTTTCCACCCCCAGCCTTCTGGACTCTCTTCCCAACTCACTTTCCAAAGACAGAATTATCATTCCACTTGAATAACTTTTGAACGTCCACATAAAAAGTTCAGGAAAATAGAATTTTAGCTTCATGGAAAGTGATTCCCTATACTCCAAGGATTTACGGGTTTGCTAGGTATGTTACCACATCAACAGGACTCGGACAAAGCAAACTGCAAGTCGTGAGCACAACGAATGTTAAAATGCCGTGAATTCTGAATCTGTCAGGTGAGGACCAGAGCACATGCACATTCTAGCCCAAGCTCAATTCACAGCTGATATTGACCGCGTGGACCCAGACATCCCTGGGAGGCAGCCTGAGTGGGACTGGAGGCTGCCAGTGGCCCAGGGGCAGTTCAGCGAGGGTCCACCAGTTCCAGGTTCTTAAAGACTTCATCGCTTCCATCAGGCCCTTGACCTCCCCACCACCCTCCCCAACCCCACCCCTGCCCATCACTCCCTGGTTCCCAGTCATCGGGCAAGGCTGGGATTCTCAGCTCTGCCCTGCCCCCACCCCAGCCAGAGGCTGCCTGATGACACTGAGCTCACCAGGTGGCAGTGGTCATGGGGGCGGGTCACGGGGGCTTTGGAAGGCCCTTATCTGTCAAACAGGAATTTAACAGACGGGCTTGTGATGCCACTTTCCGGATGGGTAGCAGGAAACGCCAAACATTTAAGGGGTGGCAAAGTGAGCATTTGAATCCAGCCACAGCTTTAAGGACATTGCAAAAATCTATGTGCCTCAAGGACTGAGCAGATGGACTCTGGAGGCCCCAGCAGAATAGGGGGCAGTCATCACAGCTTATTTCCTCAACTCCTCAGGAGCCGGGGGCAGACGTACGTCCTAACTGGCCATCTTCAGGGCTGTCTGTCCATCTCAACAAGCAGCACTATTGCCAGACTGCCTTCTGAGCCTCCTCTGCCAACCTGGAGGGGCAAGCATGACTTCCCCACTGTCGGCCTCGGGTCAGGGTTCATCGCAGTAGTGGCACTGCCACCACCCGGTGACTCTGCCCACACGACCCTCCAAGCCGCAGTGTTCCTGAGGCTCACCGTCCCAAAGGAACAGTACACATCCTGACATGGCCTCTTTCTGGTTGTGAGAAGACTGCCATTCAAAGCAACACTTGGGCAAAGGAGCAAAGTATCCCAAGGAGAGCTGGGTAGAGGGAACCAGAAGCTCCTGTGGCTAAATTCTGTTTTTCCAACCTCCCACCCGTGACCAGGATCTGGCGAGCATCCAACGCCTCTCTGGCTTAGAGCACAGCGGGGCTCACTCCTACTGGTTGGCGGGGAGGGACCAGGGCACAATGGGACGTGCATGAACTTGCAGCCAAATCTGATGCCCCATCACCGCACGGACGACCTTGGGCAGGTAAGTCCATAATTTATAGTGAAGTTAAGCCACTTCCTCTGTTGAAAAAAGGAGTATTTTTACCAAGGTTCCAGGAGCACCAGTGTAATAAAACAGCCTTGCAGAATGTCCAGCACCAGAACCTGCGACATAATGGTGCTGAAAGATAGGAACTCCATTTCTGGCCAGAAACGCCACCTCGCCCCTCACCCTTTCCTTCCCTCACACCACTCACAGTCGTTCCCAAGCCCTCCACGCAGCCCACTTACTGGATCTCAGGTTCATCACCTCCTGCCCACCCTCTGCTTAGCCTCGGGCCTCTGGGAACCACCGCCTGCCCAGCGGCCATCAACCCCCCTCCATTCCACTCTAGAGCCTGGTGAACCTAACCATGCGCTTCCCAGAAGCCTCCAGCCACCCATCCCACCACACACACCGCCTGCGAGACAAGACAGATGCCTCATTACAATCTGCGGAGCCCACCCGGTCCCAGTGACCTCCACTGCCTGCCCCTGCAGCCATGATAGACTCTGGACCTCTGCCCCCGCCCACCATGTTCAGGGCTGCATTCTCAGCCCTCCAGGATCCTGCAGCCGCATCTCTGCCTCATCTGCCGAAA